GTATAAAAGATATCCAAAATTCCAGATTGAATGAGCTAGAGATTATTAAAAATTTTACTAATGAAACTATAGTTGTTCATTAAGTAAAAATTGCCCAGCTAATAATACTATTGTATAGCTCTTGCTAACTAGTATAGTTAATTCTAACCCTACCCTAACTTCAACCCGAAAATTTGGCATTCTATATATGTATATATTCTAGTGCATTATTTTTTAGCATGCACTTACGTATAAATGTTTATTATAAAGTATCTTGCTACATACAGTTTACATATATATATATCACATCGGTAAAGTGCTAGCATTTGTCTTCATAATTTTTTACTATGTTTAGTCATATAACACCAATACATTGTTATATCTATTGTTATACCACTTAATTTGGGCATTGTGGAGCATAATAGCCAGTTTGCCCACACTTTTGGCAATACCTTCTCACCTTTTTATTTCCAGTCGTCTTTTTCGATAATTCACCACCAGACTTGTATCTTTTAGGTTGTCGACCTTTGTGTTGTACCTGTAACGGATCTCTAACGCTAACATCTTCAGCATTTGTCAGATTGATATTTTCGTCTTGATCAGGCATATCCTCTTAGTTTTTTTGATAAAACGTTCAATCTTATTAACAAAGTCATCAACTTTATTAGCACGAATAGCCAAGTCAAGTGTCTTTTTGGCATATCCCATACCAAATCTGTATCTTTATTTAGGACCATGCAACAGTACAACATTAGGGGTTTGCTTAAACTTCACAAGATGCTGAAATGATAATGGTTGAGGCAACTCATTTGACTCAATTTTTTTAATTTGATACATCAGCACAAATGCCTCATCTTCATTAATTCTACCATTATTGTACCAGCATTTAGGAATAAGTGTAATATGAAATCGTGCATTAACGGAATAGGACATAACCTGAAAGAAATGTCTACACACAAGGCCACGATTGACAAGCCAAAGGCATGTGCACAAGTGTGAGCTATCGTTAAGTATGATAATATATTGCGGATCTGCTTGCTGTCTTCTATGTCTAGTAATTTTCCAAACTTCTTGAACACAATTCTGAGATATATCTTTGAGCAAAGAAGGAAATAAAGACTGAGGCTGACCGTAGTCATCTTCTCTGGCTATTTCTTCCTGGTAAGAGTCATCAGTTGTCTAAAGCGAAAATAAAAAAAAAGTTTTAGTAATAGGTTCAAACTTAATAAGTTCAAACTTTTCAATTCTAACTTTAACCTAATATCTTTACCTTTAGGAGTACTAACCAATTATCAACTAATACAGCATCATAGCATATTGACTGGGCCATTTGATCTCGTTGTTTCTGAAGTATTTGCGGTATGAGACGTTCTTTCAACATCTTATCCAACTCAGTGAAGTATTCGTCCATTATAGTTGGTATACCTTTTGTTGATATTTCATTTTTGCACTCAGCTAATACTGCCTTTTTTGATTGTTGATCAAATATTGTTTGAATCTCTCCAACAACATCTGTTAGCCATGAAGTTCTGCTGAGTTTATCTTTGATAAATTTATTGGTTACTTCGGCTCACTGGGTACTCTGAATTTCTACGGTAAAATATCAATTTATAGCATAATTCGCCCAACTCATCTTACAGGGGTATAAAACATTCATAAGATAACTTTTACACGCTGAATATTTATTAATAAGGTTTTCCCATTTTGATTCAAATTTCTTATAATATAAAGTGTTACGCATCTCCAAAAACCTAGTACAAAAAGGCTTGAATTGTTTATATAATGTACCCTTAAGCTTCTTTCTTAAATTTAAATCAATGTGGAAGATACAATGGAGATATCATATATGTGGATAGTTCTTTCGCACAGCTGATAGTAAAGCAGGATCAGCATCAGAATATAGCACTGTAGATGCAATTTCACACGAATTTTTTAGCTCTTGCAAAACCCAGGTAAATATTGATTCAGTTTCGTCCTCAATAATTGCTGATGCCACAATCAAATTTCTGAAATTGTTATCAACCACTATGAATAGCATCAATATCATGTCAAACTGGTTGGTTTTGGATGTTGTGTCTACAACTACAACATCATGATATCGTTCATAAGCGCTAATTTGATCAGGATCCATCCAGAATAATGAGTTAAGTCGTTTTTCTTCTGAATCAAACCGTGGTTTAACTATCCACATTGGATCTTTTTCTTTCTTTGAATATAAGTCATTGAGCATTCTACATGCATCATTTTTACTAGGTTTCACCTGACTTTTGAACCGCTGAATTGCATTACTTAAATCTTTCTTATTAATAACTTGGCCTAGAAATGATACAACTAACAAATTATATTAGGTTGGTAAGCCTAATTTTCCATGAATAGTCCAAAATTTGACTTTTTCAGACATTTCATATATTAACTTTCGATATTTTGGTGCCATCTTAGTAACAAGAGTGTTCATTTCATGATTGTGTTCACCTAAAATACTGTTAATACGAACTTCTTTCTCTATTTTAGGGAATGCCAAATTAATGTACCAAGGACAATCGATCATTTCAGAATCTCTGTCTCTCCTATCTTCTGCCAGAATAACCTTTTCAGGTTCATGTATCTGAGCATGTGAATATTCATATGTTTGCTGTCTTGTTATGGTGTAGTTATCAGAGTCAACAACCCGTCTTCTCTTTCGAAAACTGAACCCCTCCTGCTTCGCATAATCGGTAAGGTATGATTCGGCAAGTTCCCATATACTAAACTTCATTCCTTTACGTAGTACTAATAAATTATTTTTTCCTTCCTCCTCATTTTCACTATCTTCATGCTCATTATTTTCACTCTCATCATAAATCCCATTATCCACACCTTCTGTTTGAGCCTCAACATTTAATTTAGTCAACGAATCACTAGAGCTTTGAAAATTAATATAGGTTGACATAGTACTATCATATCCATAGGGGCCGGGGTAAGGTAACGACGAAGTATTTATATTATCATAGTACTCATAGGCATTTGGATAAAACGATGAAACGTTTGCAATATTATGTTCATAGCTATAATAAGGTAAGGTAAGTTCGTATGTATTAAAACAAGGTGCCGAAAAATCAGGTGTAATATCCTGTTCGTAGATGTTAAAGTGAGAGGGTGATGAGCTATCTATTTGATCATGATTATATGCGTTGAAATAAGACAACGACGATGATGCATTCGACGTTTGACCTGTAGGAACTGATGAAGTGTAATGGAACTTCTTGGGCTTCATGGTAAATAAATGGCACATGAACTTTGGTAGCTAGGTGTTGAAAAATAACAGTTAGTTGTATTCGAAAAAGTGTATTTTGATGTAGAGAAAGAGAATGTGATTAGTTGTAAAAAAAAAAAAAAAGTTAATAAAAATAATTTAATTTGATAGACTATCAAATTAAATATATAGGTGACATCACCTAGGCAAAATCACTCCTGGTTAAAATTAGTTATAGACTTTATATTATTAATATTATTATTATAAAAAAATTCTTATTATTTATTATTTATAAAAATTTTGTATTACAATCTAATTTTGTAATTTTTGTATTATTTTATAAAATAATTATAATGCAAATTATAGAACTAACTTAACCAATTAGAATAAATATTAATTATTGTTAATTTATTTTGATTATAGCTAATTAAAATAAATTTCTATCTTGTAATAAGTACTAACAATAAAAATCTATAAATAGTTCTTAGAGATAGTTGTGATTTATATAAGTTATTAGTTAAGAATAGTTAGAGTTATTAGTTTTAGTAATATCACATAAATTTTACTATTTATATATTTTTACAAGAATATTACTAAAAGTTTTTGATTATATAAAACACAATAAAGTTTTTAAAATAATTAATATTTGTTTAGAGTTTATATTATAGTTTGAGATTAACAAAAAATATAATAAAATTGTTTAATAAAAACTTTTATTAGAATATTAAAAGTGATTTTTTATATTGACTTTTAATTTATAAACAATTTTTAATAAAACAAATATTTGTTATAAATTTTTTTGATCATGTTATATTAGTATTATATTATATCTTATCTTGAAATATGATTGGTTTATGTTACATTTTTGGTCACATATTACTAAAAATTTTTAGTAATATTCTTAAGTAGTTAATTTTAATAGCAATACTTAAATAAAACACTTGCCATAGATTTCTATATAAAGAAAATATTAATACTTAATAATAAAGGTTTTGGTTCCATAGCTTATTGGTTAAGCTCTTAAATCTCTCTGACAAGGTCG